TGTTCTCCACCAAACTGTTAATCTTCTTCCTCCGCTCGTATTCGCGATGAAGTTAAAATTAAGTTTTTTATCAAGTCCCTTAACCTCTCTACATATCGTATTTTTCTCATCAGCATCACACCAAGTTAAAACACTCCCTATGGTGCACAATATCTTCTCTTCAACTACAAAGCAAAAGTTGGGCATCCAATACATCATCTCTTGGATCCTCTTTTGAATACGAATATGTGGTGTGAGTGTGGTGGGAGATAATAGCTCCCAAGTTTGAGTCTTTGGATCATAAATCTCTCCCCAATTCTCGCCAACACCGCAACCTCCAAACACATAAATTTTGCCATCAATCAAACCCGCAGCTGATTTTCCTCGAGGTATTCGCAGATCAGGAAGTGTATGCCATTTATGAGATAGACAATCAAGGAGAAACACTCTTCTGCTTCTCTCTTCATTTACCAATCCGCCGATTAGGTATATCTCTGAACCAATTGAGACAACGGTTGGGGATTCGGGGTGTTTCCATGGAAACGAAGGAATTGGTATCAACTTCCGTTGTGTAGGAGTTGGTGGAAGTATGAACCAGCGAGGTATTGAGTTTCTATCTAATTTTAAACAGAAATAGATGTAGTTCTCGGTTTTTCCGATTAGGGTTCGTGTGACGTGGAGCTCACGCGAAGCTACCAGTGATCCAAAATTCTTGGAGACAAGAGATAAGGTTCGACGATGCAGTCTCGTGATACGAGCCAAAATGTTGAGAGTGATATCGTACGGTAACGACGAAAACGATATCGGAGGAGGAGAACTCGTCTCTTCCATCGTGACCGTGTTCGTAGCTTCGTATGAATTAGATTTTAGGGTTCCTGTTCTCTTTATTTATACACATGCTTTTAGTTAAAGAAAATTTACAAAACAACTCTAATGAAAATCTACTTTATTTTTTAGCAAACCAAAAAATGGGTCAATTGTGTGAATAACCAAAATAAAAAAATTATAACCCAAAAACTAACAAAAGTATATCACATGACAACATCTAAGCCATTGGATCTTAAAGAATTAGTTAGCTATCTTTTATTTACTAAAACATAAGTCATTAATCAATTTTGGGAATGACACGTGTCTTTCACATTTTGTTAAATACAATTATTATTTTTTTGTGTATGTATTCTTTTTGGATCTATAACTACCGGAAAAAAAAAAACCAAATCCCTAAATTTGCTCAACTCTCCCACGATTTCTTCAACCATATATCTTTATGTACGTATGTAATGAGAAATATAAGAAGAAGATGGGGATTAATCAATTGCAGATATAATCACAGAAAGAAGAAAAATTGATACTTTAACAAACAATCGTTAGTAAATTTATAAGAAACTTGCTTGACTCAATATCTCAAAGATCTAAAAATGCAAAAGGCCAACGATTAAAACTTGTATTAAGCAGGAAAAAATAGAAATATAGAGAGGAAGAAACGATGAATACCATTCTTTTAGGAATGGTAATAAGTATCTAGGCCCTTGTGTTTGGATGGCTTTCAACAACCTGGAAAACAAATATTCATCATCAAAAATGTATTTTGTTATGCTTGCTAATTGACTTGCACAGCAATTTTGGAAATCTCCAATGGATTGAAAACGCTCCTCTCATCACTAATCCCTCGAGTACGTCTCATCACCAAGATCCTCATTAAGTTTTTATGTCTTATGAATTATGATGATTTAGGTGAGCCACAACAGAGACAAAACAAGAGAGTGAAATTTATTCAGTCAAAATGCAGGGAAATCACTATCTCTTCTAATGGCTTTCCCTTTCTGAAATGTTTAAAGCAGTTTTTCAATTTCTTTTCGTCTGAGAAACTCAATCTCCCACCTTGCTTTTAGGAAGAATGACACACAAGTCAATGTCAAACACCAACGATTACGTTCTCATACCATCTTCTTATTATTGCTTTCCTTATCTTACGTGTATGGCAACATTTTTTTTTTTTGAAATTCATGGTTATTTCAAAGTCTTTGCTAATGGATGCATTGCATTGTTTTCACTGAGAATGCAAGAAAATGCTCATATCCTATTTTGAAAATAAGAGTTCTACAAACTCATCGGAAAACAAACCATTTCTTTGTATTAGTTTGATGTAAATAAATTGTAATTATATTCATGTTTTTCTAGCGTTTGTCATCATGTATATATTGATATCATATATATCATTTTGTATCTTTTAATGTCAGTAATAACAATTATTGTTCATAACCTTTGCTCCTCAAAACTCTTAATCTCTTTCTCTTTGGTGATAAAAATTAGCAACAATCACTACTTTTCACGGGACCAAAAATATATTCAGTTAAATCAAGCACAAAGTGGCGAGAAACAATGTCATTAGATAGATAAAAAAAATCAGAA